AGCAAGCCAATAGTCCAATAGTCCAATCCCCCGTGTGGATTGCAAATCGAACATAGTTCTACTCTACAAGTTGGGGAACAATGGGTAGCATATGCAGAGCACTCGTGCTTCTCTGTCTTTCATGTTTGATGATTCTTGCTTGTTCTGAGACTAACACTTTAGAGCAAGGCAAACAGCTCAGACATGGCGAGCTGCTGAGATCATCTAATGGTATCTTCAGGTTAGGATTCTTCCAGCTTTCCAGCTATGCAGATAAATCTTTCTTAGGAATATGGTATAAGGATAGCGGATGGTATAAAAATGAAGGCAACACCCCAATAGTCCAATTCCCAGTGTGGATTGCAAATCGAAACAACCCTATCTTCAATCGTTCTGGAATTCTCTCAGTCAACCGCAATGGATGCCCGCAGATTTTATCTGGTGAGAAGGAGATCATTGCCTTATGTTCAACTAGAGCTTCAAAGGCTCGTGCCACCCTACAGGTCGATGGCAACTTTGTACTGCAGGAACTGAATTCAGATGGATCTGTGAAGGGGAATTTATGGCAAAGTTTTGATCATCCAACGGACACTCTCCTACCGGGGATGAAGCTAGGATTTAACTTGAAAACTGGGTTCAATTGGACTCTGACATCGAGGAGAAGTTTCTTCTCACCAGCCTCAGGCTCTTTTACACTGGCAGTGGATCCCAACGACACAAAACAGCTGGTCATATTGCGGCCAGATGATGTATACTGGAGAAGTGGACCTTGGCAACGTAGCAGCTCTGGCTTTCCACACTTAAAGTCCTTGCAGGATTCTGGCTACAACTTTAGCTTCACTCAAAATGAATATGAAACATACTTCAATTTCACTACAAACCCAGCACTGGTCATTTTCCCAAAACTAAGAATAGAGTATGAGGGCTCGGATCGTGTGCTCGAGATTTCTACTGAAGGATTCAGTAGAAGTTTAGTTTCATGTACTAGTCATTACAGTTCCTCCAATTGTAAGGACAGGTCCGAGGTGCTAAGTCTCGGACTGCTACAATAATTCTTTTATGACCGAAGTGAGGGATACATACAAAGCTCCCCGCTCAAATAACTATATAACAACGACAATAAGCATGCCCGCACCTGATTCCTTATGATGAGCGGCACAGCAGGTTTGGTGGACATCCGTGCATCTGAATACCTTTCAAATTCCCGGTCCCAGGATAATCGTCTGGATAGACACGTTAGGCTCCGATTATCTTGCTTGGCATGCCAAGTGGATTCCTCGTTGGATCCTATAAATACCCCCGGGTCACCTCAAAAGGTAATTGAAACCAACCCTAAGCTTTTTTTATCTCCGCCCTAAAGGTAGCCCCGATTATTGCTGACTTCATCCGAGTGTCTACCCCGAGTTACACCTCGGGGCTTTGCAGGTCATTCCGGAGTACTGAGACAGACTGAAGAAGGACTTTTGGTTTGGTGCAATTACACCACTACGGCCGGATGCATAAAGCAAAAGCTTCCTGAATGCAGGGATACTATGCTTGATTACGATTACATCTCCTCGGACTACGGTTCGATGTCCAGCCCTGGATACAGATTCAGCGATAGTGAAAACCTGACTCTTGAAGATTGTAAGGTCAAATGCTTGCTAAACTGTTCGTGTTTTACCTTTGCTACCACGAATGATAAGGATGAAACTGGTAGTGAAATTTGGGTATCGAGGGCATTTTTCAGACAAACGTATAATGGTCGCATGATATACATGCTTCTTTCCAAAGGTATGTTTGCTTCATTGTCAAGGTTTACAAAGTTCTTAACCTACTGATAAAATTCCTTCTTGATCAATTGCATTAAGATGTTTGTGC